ACGTGCCCCGGGTGCCGAATCGGGGGGGCTGGGGCCCCGCCAGCAGATCCAGGGGGAAAACAAGTTACATTCAGCTGCCGCCACCGCATTGGCTATCCCTCCTGTCAGCTCTCCCCTCTCGGCCACGCTGCAGCGGCCGAGAAAGAGGTGAAGCAATCTGGTTGCCTTTCTACTGCCCGCTTCAGTGATCAGACTCCTCGGTGGCGGCCTGCAGCTTCCTCTGCCCACTTCAGCTGCCATAGGCTATAGAAGTAAGACTGCAGAGCTACCATTGGTCGGCTGAGAGCAGGAGAGCGGGTCCTGAAGTGAGGGGACAAGAAGGTGGCTGGAGGCTTCACCTTGGGATACGGAGGCAACATCGCCACCGCTCCCCACCAGCAGAGGAAGGGGGCATGGGGACAGAGCACTGGAATTAGATCAACTATTTCCAATGTAAGTCTCTGTTCTTTCTGTGACACACGACTGACCTCTGCACTGGGTGCGACACCGCTGACCTCTGCACTGTGCGTCACACCGCTGATCTCTGTACTGAAGCTTCATATTATTGCATTGCTGTATAATGTATTGCTGAGATTAGTAGTTCTTTATAGATGGAGGTATTCTGCATTGCTGAATGATTATTGCTGGGATTTATAGTCCTCTATACCTGGTGGTATTCTGCATTGTTGTATAATGTAGTGCTGGGATTTATAGTCCTCTATAGCTGGTGGTATTCTGCATTGATGTATAATGTATTGCTGGGATTTATAGTCCTCTATAGCTGGTGGTATTCTGCATTGCTGTATAATGAATTGCTGGGATTTGTAATCCTCTATAGCTGGTGGTATTCTGCATTGCTGTATAATGTATTGCTGGAATTTGTAGTCCTCTTGAGCTGGTGGTTTTCTGCATTGCTGTATAATGTATTGCTTGGATTTGTAGTCCTCTTGAGCTGGTGGTATTCTGCATTGCTGTATAATGAATTGCTGGGATTTGTAATCCTCTATTGCTGATTGTTTTTGCGCATTGCTGTATAATGTATAGCTGGGATTTGTAGTCCTATTAGCTGGGATTTGTAGTCCTCTTGAGCTGGTGGTATTCTGCATTGCTGTATAATGTATTGCTGGGATTAGTAGTTCTCTATAGCTGGAGGTATTCTGCATTGCTGAATGATGTATTGCTGGGATTTATAGCCCTCTATAGCTGGTGGTGTTCTGCATTGCTGTATAATATATTGCTGGGATTTGTAGTCCTCTACAGGTGGTGGTATTCTGCATTGCTGTATGATGTATTGCTGGGATTTGTAGTCCTCTACAGGTGGTGGCATTCTGCATTGGTGTATAATGTATTGCTGTGTAATGTACCTCCATGGTGGAGCAGTGTCTTTAGACCCACTTCTGTGCTCTCTTCTTTTGGTGCTGCGGTGCCCCTCCTGATTCACCACGGAGGTAAGGCTTAAAAATCACTTCATTCAAGTCTCTCCTCCTTGACAGATTAGATGGGGCACTGCTGGGAAAATAGAACGAGCCCAGAAGCAGATCCTAAATTAACAAAGCTGCACTGGAGAATGAGGCGATTTGAAGCCTCATCTCTGCGGTCGATCAGGAGGGGCGCCACTGTGACATAAGAAGAGAGTCCAAAAGAGTGGTGGTGGGGGGAGAGAGGGGTCTAGCATTCCTTTCCATTCCATTGGTAATTTCACTCACAGATATACAGTACATTGAAGAACTAATAGTGACAACGGAACAAATCTGTACAAAGATTTCACTGCTTGTAATATGTGAAAGGAGCCCCACTGCTTACTGTGTCCACACAGCAATCACAACCAAGCACGATTTTACCATCTGCCCTATTAATCCTGGTTTAAACTGAGCGTATTGTAGCGCGTTTTCTGCAGTAAAAAACACAAAAAAATCTCATTCATTTCTATGGCCCTGTTCACATCTGCGCGTTTTGTCGCAATAAGCAAAACGCCTGTGCTGGAAAAAGTACAGGAGCTTTCTTTTTTGGCATATTACAGCTCGTTTTGGTCCCATAGACTGAATAGTAGCTGTATGTGCTCATACATTCCGCCAAGAAAACACGAGAAATGAAGCGTTCCAGACCTGTAAGCCTGATTGGCTATAGACCTAACAGACAGCTGCCTCAGCCAATCAGGGCTGTGTTTACATAGACAGCAAACACTCGGAATCTGTGCCGGGGAGGGGGCGTGGGTTGTGCTGCCCCACAAGATCAGTAAAGTGGGGAGAGCAGGATACAGTGGCTGCACAATGGGGAAGAGCCATACAGAGAGCTCTCACAAGACAGATAGTCCCTGCTACTCAGTACTGACAGCTGCAGTCAGAACTTTTGCTGACCCAGTGAGCGTCGCCCAGGGTATGTGTTATATGTGTCATGCTCTGGATATGTCACTGGAAGCTACAAGAATGACAGTATGACACTTCTGAGCGGTCCCACAGCAAGCAACGATAGCCTCGGTCACGTAGGCTGTGATTGGACTTTGTCCAGGGGGCGGAAGACGTCACATAGGGGGCGGGGCTAGGGAGTGCTGCTGTCGGTTTATACAGACAGGCTTCGTATAGTGACCCGCATTAGAGGCTTGTCCGCCCTTCAAAGTGTCCCCACCACCGGCAGTGACATGCAGGCCCGAAGTCTCAACATCCCGGTAGGAAGCGGCCGCCTGTCCGTTCTTCAGCGGCACCTCGTATCCTTTTTCGGCTCCAATGGTCGGGGCAGTTCTGGGTTATATAATTATTATAAGTAGGAATGATATATTGCTTGGTGTGTGTTTTGTTTTCTTCGTCACAGAAATTGCTGCTTCCGGGAAGTGTCCAGGCTTACCTGTCCCTTACACACTGTGACTAGAGCAGGGGTAGGCAACATTGGCCCGCCAGCTGTGATGGAACTACAAATCCCATGAGGCATTGCATGACTCTGACATCCACAGGCATGACTCCCGGAAGCAGATGTATGCTGGGATTCGTAGTTTCACCACAGCTGGAGTGGTAAGGTTGTCTACCCCTGAATTAGAGTGCCATGGAAATGGAGCTAAGAGTCCCTTTAAAAAAACTCCAGTCATAAAGGTAGCTTCTGATGTGTAATAGATCACTGCTCTCTACTACAAATGCCTCTTGTATTTAGACAGTATTTGTATATCTTGGAGTTTACCTTTTAAAGAACAACCTCTACAAGAGTTAATTGTTCATTTTGGTCTAGGAGTGAAAATACAGTTCTACTCACCTGATGCTTGGTCACTCCTGGCTGCTAGAGCAGTCCTTGCAGCCTCTTCTCCACTGGGTTTTGGTGGTCCAAGGACTGCTAATGTCCTCATGTCCAGTGCAAGTCCATTGACCTGCATTGGATATGAGGATGCCTAGGAGCAAACCACAGCCTGACCGGAGCAGATAAGAGGTGAGCGGTCACTGCCACAGGACCAAGGATCAGGTGAGTATGTCTTCTTTGTTTTAGACCCTAGACCAAAACAAGAATCATTTTTAAAATACCCAGAGCTGTTCTTTAAAACAATCCCTTTTTGTTATTCTGTTGCAAGGTTTCTTGCTTTTCTGATCCTGCCAGTAACAGCACTCCTCGTTTCAGACTGACAACACTAAGCTGCTGCCTTGCAGTAACGTTGTCAGCATGCCCTTTGTCAGTTGGCAATTGGGCTGATATTCCTGCTCTGTGTCCTAGCGGGGAGGAGAGAAACTGTGACAGCCGGCCGAGCGCTGCAGGAGGAGAGCGCTGTGAGCGGCCGGCGTCTCCTCCCACGCCGCTTAGCCTCCTATCATAGTCCGGCAGAGTGGTGTTGGGGCGAAGACAGCGCTGTCACAGGAGGCTGGGCTTTCCTCTCTACACCACTCGATCAGCCTCCTGTGACAGCGCGTCAGAGAGGAGAGCAGTACAATCACTCAGTGATCGCTGAGTGTTTGTAGATTATTGAGGACAGAGTATGTTTACTATATCCTCAATTATGAATGAATGGGAAGTGTTCATTCATAGTTGTAGTTATAGTAAACATACAATGTCCTCATGTTATGAATGAACAGGAACACTCAGTATAGAGGATTCCTGTTCCTTGATAACAGGGGATACAGAAAAAGAGATAAAGGACTCTGTGTTCTCAATCTCTTTTTCTATTTTAAAAGGGAAATGTCAGGGGTCTGTTTAGATCCCCAATATTTCCCCAAAGCCCCTAAAAGTAAAGTAAAAAATATTTAATAAAAAATGAATTAATAAATACATATAAAAAAATTAAAACGTTTATAAAAATAAAATATTAAAAAAAATTAAAATAAAAAACATTTTCGGTTGCGGCCTGACAAATTTTTTTTATTTCGGTATCGTTTCGGTTTTAAAATTTCCATTTTGGTGCACCTCTAGTAGTCACCACTCCAAGCTCGCACCTGTGATGGACTACAATCTCATGTTTGGTTTACTAATTTGTATTGAGATTGTAGTCTATCACGGGGCTTGGAGCGAAGACTACTTTACAACACACACAGGGACCATGCGGAACAAAAGTAGTCACCCTCCAGGAGAAAGGACAGTGTCAGCACCAATTCAGAGATGATTTGAGGTTCTACAGGATCTTGAGGATCTATTATACACAAATAAGGTACATTTTTGGTACTAGTTAAGGTACTTGAATGTATTTGTAAGATTGAACTCCTGAGTTTAGTGTGACTTTAGTAGGGTAGACATGTATATATTTTCTTTTTTCAACCCGCCGGCTGAATGAAGAAAATAGATTCCTCCAGCTAAATAGCATTGATGGATAAACCCCAAAGCAGCATCTATTGAATTGTGACAGTGGCCGCCGGCTGCATGTAGCAGCAATCTTGTTGTGTGACATTGTCAGCTTGCTGTGCGCACCCTTAGAGATGACTGCTATCAGGATTGTGCACACCAGCTCAACATATAACTTAAAACAAGGAATATCAGCCCAATTTCACTTCCGGCATGGTGCCAGACATACTGAAAAATATCATTTGAGATTACATACACCTGAACAGTTTCCCCTTTCAGAATAGCTGCCTAAAGCTGGCCATACACCTTACAACCATCGCACGACTTTTGTTGTGCGATGGTTGTAAGGTGATTAAAATTTCGTACAATCTGCCCATCTTGAACAGGCAGATCGTACTTGCGATCATCGCAAGCCCTCCCCGCTGAGTGAGGGCTTCCGATGATTGCAGTGCTGAGTGGGCAGTGTGCGCTTGCGCACACCGGCCTGTGCGGCATTCGTCTTCCGAAGACGGAAGACGAAAATTGTGCGACCTTACAGTAGAAACGGTTTAACGCCTTCCATACACCTGCCGATTTATCATACGATCGCGGGATCACCCGCAATTATCGTACGATAATCGGCAGGTGTATGGGCACCTTTACTCTGAGGGAGAATGCCTCCACCTCACCACAGTTGTGTTATCCATGACATACTGATATGACTATTGTACATTGGGGGGTAAATGCTGCAAGGATCAAGTGAGTATATCTTCTTTATTCCTTTCCCTAGAGAAAAATGAGCAGTTGACCCTTGCAGTGAGGGAGGGGGACTGCAAAAGTAGATTTATTTTCTTAAATACACTTATTTAACCCTTTCACTGTCAGCAATGTATGCAAGGGTTAACTGCTTGTTTTTCTGTAGGAGATGGAATAAAGAACATCTCTTGGCTAGCATGGCTGCTGGTTCAGATCAACAGCATTTTCTCCTCCAGACTCTGGCGGTCTAAGGACCTGTCGTCACATTTAATACCGGTCTATGAGGCTCCATTCACACCTAGGCGTTTTGTCACTCAAAGCTAAGTACAACAAAATGCTCATGAGTGACTTCTTGAGTGAGTTCTTTTTTCTTCTTTTTAAATTTGCATCTCAAAATTAAAAAAAATGTCAATTGTATGAGTTCGACAAATGAAAGTGCCAGAGTGTCTAGTGTTGTATGAAACATGTTGTATAATTCTGGAGATGGACTAACTGCTTATCAGTGTTACAGTGCTAACATGAAGAATATGAACTTCAGTCACTGAATGTACACTTGTACTTTGCACAGAAATATCTTTTTATTTTCCTCCCAGGACACGGCTTGGTTAATAAGCTCGATAAGATATGGTGTGTTTGTTCGCTGGTAACATTTTAGGTTGTTTTTTTTTGTCAGTAATAAAAAGTTACCATGGAATATAAACTGTTATCCCTTTAACAAACTCTACATCACAGTATTCATGTAAATAGAACAGTAATCTGGGTGTTATTTACTCACGATCAGATGTAGAAATAAAAACATCCTTTTATTACACATAATAAAACACATGATCCTAAAACCATACAGACCTTCCCCTTCCCTTCATATTTATACATGCACTATTTCATGATATTGGACCCTTCACATAGGTAGTCGGATAGCTACAATATTGTTTATAATTAAAGGGATACCTATTTATTATTCCAGTGTAAAGTTCTGTTTATACACCCCAAACTTCATCCCTCCAGCTGTGGTGAAAGCACAAATCAAGCCATCATTAAGATGTAAACACTAAGGGCTTGTGCACACCACATCCAGATCATCTCCAGACCAGATTGTTTCTGGACCCAAAATGTATCCCGATGCTATTTGTGGCCTCTGTTCACACCAGCGCAGTCAATTCCAGACCAGAAAAATAATGCATGTCTCATTTTGTCTGGTCTGGAATGCACTGGAACTGCGTGCAGGTTCACACCATTCTTCGGACCAGATCTGGTTCTGAAAATGTTGTGGACCTGCCCTAAGTGCTCGTGCACACCATGTCAAGACCAGACCAGTTTGTTCCCAGGCGAAAAAAGCATCCCAAAAAGTCCCTATGGTATTTCTGGGCTCTGTTCACACCAGCGCAGTCTGTTCCAGACATAAATAAAAACTGCTTGTCTCATTTTCTCTGTCTGGAATGCATGGAAACGCATCAACGTACTGGACCGCACCTGAAAGCCCAAAAGAAACCACTTCCGGAACGTGGCAAAACGCAATCCAGATCTGGTCCTGAAAATGGTTTGAACCTGGCTTAAGAATCCAAAGTAAATGTGCAGTACTGTTGTTATATAAGTGCTGTTCTGGGGTACATGGTTGTGGCTGAAAGACACCCCTATTGTTGTGCCAGCATTACCAGCTTTTTCAAGGGGTTCTATGCATTCACATTTCTTGCTCCCTTGTTCCTATTTATACAACTTTTATCCAATCAGGCAATTTATAATCAACATCAACTAAGACATATGAAAAACATGGCTGGTTGTAACCAGCTTTGTAACATTGCTTTGTAACATTGTTTCTGTGTTGTATGAAATGTTATATGAACTATAGTTGTGTGAAAAGCCACATATATTTCAGTATTTTGTTAATGTTTTTTTTTAAAAAGGACTTACAATATTCAGGGGAATCTTTTTAAAATGTTGTCTCTCTGTTACTCCGTATGGTGCTTCCTTTAAAAACCCATGGCAAGGGTGTCGTTTCGTAAAACTCCCTTTGGGTCGAGTAGATAACGTTACATTGACTCTGTGCTTAGGACTCTCCAGCTGCTTTTTGATATCGTGGTTAAACGTTTGAGGAATTTCATACTGAGCAGAGTAGAAAATTGGTCTGGCAGCTCCCTGCTTTCACAGAGTTCTAAAGTAAACCTATCATTAGAGAAAAGTGTGTACACTATAGCAAACCACTTGTGTTCACTCAGTAACCCAGGA